TCACATATATTACAACTATATACATTATTTCCTAAATAATCATTTTATAGAAAAGTTATACATTTGTCAAATATCCAAGCGGACGAGTCGGATTACGACGCGGCGTGGCCATTTCGGAGACTTCGATGCGAGCATAAGCGAGATTTTTTTCCAAGGGACTCACCGGCCGTCGTTATAAAGAAAAAACAAGAAATTATGTTAATTACTACTACTACTTGCTTGATCAACAAGGAGGAAAAATAAAAATAAAAAAAAGATAGAATCGAAACTTGAAGTATTCAAACGTTATGGAATTTCTCAACGACAGAGACAACAACAGGAATCTTCAATATAAGAAGCCAAGTAATCTTTTCTATATGCAGGCACACCTCAAAGAGAAAAATTTACTAACGGAATGCGTGTCGAAGAGAGCGAGGTATAAGCACGACCTTGAACGTACTTGACATAAACACCGCGTTCAACGTTCTATTTCTGAAGGAACAAATTCAGTCTAAACTTTTTACTTTGTGGAGTCATCGAATAGGACATTGTTTCCATCGTGCCGGTTATTTACATTCGAGAATTCGCGAAAATGAAATTTTATGTCGATACGAATTCATTTCATGGTTTCCCCCTGATTTATTCTAACCAAAATATTTATAAAAATGGTTGAAGTTAATAAATTATCGCACATTTTCATTTTGTTTGAAAAACAAAAACATAACGTTTAAATTGCGACATATAAAGAGCATTAATTTTTTCTGCTCAAGTAACCGTTTAATTAAACAGATGCAAGATGTACAACATAAGGGCATTGACTGAACTGCCCGTAGACGTGAAGAAATTTATGCGGAAGTTTCGTGTTTTTCATTTATCCTATAACCGTTACTCGTTACTCGTAACATGGTCGCGCAGATATAACTACTGAGGGTTATCTATTATTATGTTGCTGTATTTAGCTGCATGACAATTATATTTTATAGAAATGAAATTATTTTTCGTTTTTTTTTTTCAACAACTATTTATAGATCGTTTAATAGTGCACGTTAATTGAATGGCGAAGAAATTATTGGGTACTTATTATGTAAATACTTTGTTACATAATTGATTGTATTTTATTCATAATTTCGACTTTTCAATAATTCGATTAATCGATTATACAAAATGTAGTAAGAAAATTCTAAAGCAGGTGGCGACAGGTAGAAAAACCTGATTCAAACCAGTTTGAAATGCATACCTAACAAAATTGAAATAAGAAAGTTTAGATCTTGAAAAAGATCTAATCGAAAGTAAACAACAGAAATCCAACATAAGTAGAAGTTAGCGTGTTCCTCGTGGTTGGACGCATGCGTGGATACGACACTAGTACACACACGTGAAGGCGCGCTCGAATACTCGTACATAATGAAGGAAAAAAAAATAAAAAAGAAGTGGAAAGAAAGTTAGCAATGTACCTCTCGCATACCTTCCAATTCGTGTTGCAGAGTGTTGAACAAGTTTTCCAGTGAATGGACCGAACGAATGCACTCGCTTCCACACGATTAATAATTATAATGATCGATAGTTATTTAAAAGTAAATCTTAAATATAGTTAAAGCCATCTTTTAACGTAATTTTTCATATTTATTTTCACCATTCAAAAAGAATAAAAAATATTTTATGATCGTTTTAGAAAAATTTTATGAAAGAGAAAGAGAAATGAAAAATGATCGTTTCAGGAAACTCTAGGTCCTCGTGATTAATAACTATAATTATCGATAGTTATTTAAAAGTAAATTTTAAATATAATTTAAGCTATCTGTCAAACCTAATTTTTAATATTTATTTTTACTATATAGAAGAATTCAAAAATAATTTATGATCGTTTTAGAAAAACTTCATGAAAGAGAAAAAAAATGAAAAATGATCGTTGCAGGGGGGGCTGACTCTAAGGCCCGAAGCAACAATAAATAATAGAAGTTTGTATTGTTCGTTTTGAGATATGTAAGTGTCCTTACATAGAAGAGAGAATGAGTGCGCGCGCATAAAATCGAGAAGATGCGTTATTTAACGGCGTAGGAAACTGCCTAAGGTCATCGAGTGTCACATCGTGTGTCATCATGCTAAGGGATTTGCACTGCCTTAGAGAAAGAAGTAAAAGAAAGATAGAAAAAAAAGACAACTGTCTGCCCGTATAACTAGTATACAGGAGTATGGTAGAGAGAGAGAAAGAGAGATAGATAGATAGATAGATAGATAGAGGGAGAGATATATAGCATATAATACGTCATACGGGCTCTATATGACACTTTCAACAGAAATGAGCCGGAGGCAAGGAAAATAAATGATTATGTGTGTGTGGTTATATTATTGATAGGTTTTTTGTTTTCCACTTCCACATCTTCTTACTATATTTTCTATTATTTTTATACTAATTTATAAGTTCGGTAATTGCTCAATGAGATACTTGATATCCGCCATTTTGGTGCTCGATTTTGTAAAAGATTTTTTATTTTTTTAGTCTATTTCGTTTAATGATGACGTCATGCTGCTAAGATTTACAGTATTATTATTACTGAAGGATTTTTGTTCTCTAAATCGAGTTGATAATGTGATTATACAAGACAAAATTGTGTATGTTTATGAACTTTCGAAAGAATCTTCTCGATGAGTCTTCTGTTATAAAACATTTTCATTATTGCAAGTATCTTCGATCTATGTCATAGTGATTGCAATGACACGCGTAGGTCTACTTACAATTAGATGTTAGTGGGCGCGTATTACAGGTGTCCTTAATAATATTAAACATTAGAAAAATAATAATTGCATTAAGTAAGAAAAAGCAATACGCGCGCATAAACATTTAATTGTAATTTAAATAAAGAAAATTATTTTTGTTTTCAAAACTGTGGTTTCTATTTTCTTTACAATAGAACGTAGAAACCGGTAAAATTGTGTTACAACTAATATAGAGAAATCGTCGACCGTATCTTTTAATAGATAAGAATTTTTACATTCGAGTATCGAGTGTAAAAGCATTACAATTTGATATGTGTATGTGTGTATGTGTTTGCACCTTTGAGAAAGAGAAAGAGAAAAAATGATGATTGTTATAAAACTAAAAGTGGTTTAGCGCTAGATATAAATTAAACAATAATTGTCAAATTAAATATCATCGTAAAATAATCGTTTGACGAGTAATTAGGAGGAGAAACGGACGAATTAGTTTTTATATTTCATTGAAAATAATTAACCGGATAAAATCAATAAAATATATAAGAAACATAATGGTAAAAGATTTACAGAAAGAAACGATTGATCGATCTTATTAAAAACTAGTGAGTCATCCTGCAGTGATAATGATATCGAGATAACAATGCGAATTGTTTTCCGAAGCGCAGCATATTTCAATCTGTTTAGTCTTATACATTTAATTATAAGAAAAAAACGTTTACAGTAATACACACACGAAGAATAAAATAAGCTTGAAACCACATACGAGAAATGTTCTATATCCGGATGTATAGTTGCAATACAGATACACGTACCTAATACGTGTTATGTGCATATATCCAATTTATTCATTTTTTCTAATTAATTACTATTTTTTCTTTTTTTTATATGTAAAGTAATATATTCCTGTACTCAGGGACAGAAAGAAAAGTTATCCCCTCCTATCGGTAAATAATTAATCTATTAGAATGACTTTATGGATACATACGTTAGCAATCTGCACTCCCTATTGGTTTTTCATTTTAAGTGGAAATAAAAGATGGATGATTAAAAAAAAGTTATACACTAATTTCCACACACGCGATTTAAATTACTTACTATTGTAGTTGTAAATATACAAAGAAAAATATATAGGTATGTTAAATCGAAAGAGAAAAAGAGAGAGAGAGAGAGGAGAGAAAAGACAGGAAATTGTTTGGTTTAGGTTTTCATTGGAAAATTATGTAGAAGGAGTCTTAAGTGAAGACCAGAGAGCAACAGGTGTGCCTCTGAAGGAATACTAATTGGAATACCAATTGGAATTCCGTGAAGAAAGGTATTCAGGATTGCACTGAATTCCGTTATGGCGTTAGAGTGATATTCTTTAGAAGGAAACCTTGACACAGCTTGATTGCTTTTATTTAGGCGTGTTGTTTCACGGAAATGATATGAATGTATAGGATCGTATAGGTAGTGTGGAGTATTGCCGTAAACTTCCAAGCAACTGTAGGTGTCGCGAGCCGATGACGATAAGTATACTGTGAGCGAATGAACGAAAGGAAAGGAAATGAAACACGGATGGCTGCCGAAACGAAAGCAACTTAAATATTTGAAATATCGTTTATCTGGAGATATCATCGTATTACTATTACTAATTAAACTTACCTAGTTTTTATTAAGAATAGTTTTTTCTATCCACACACACTTCACCCTCACATACACAAAGGAAGAAACCTTTATTAAAGGAATGAACACCTACGACCCGACCATGCTCGACTGAAAATTTCTCACGACTACTTTTAATCCTTCTACCTTCTCTACTTCGCGGTTTACCTGCTCTTCTCACCTCCCTACCTCATCTACCAAGGTGCGATCTTTGATACACCGATTTCTATTGGCTCATTCCTCGATCCCTACTACGTCACGATCGATTCTTTTAACAGGAACGTAATATCTTTGGATCCATATTTTTATTAATAGTCTTTAATATTATTTTTCATTATTTAATATAATTTTTATATTGTATTTAGAATATAATTTATTTCTTCTATTTTCTCATCCTATTATTACTTGTGATTTGAAATTATATTGAAAAAAAGTTTTTAACATCGGGCCCGAACAATTCGATGTTCGTCAATGACCTATTTCTTCTTTTGGCACCATCTCGCGGCTGCAGATTAAATTACAAGTTCTTTTCTTACTGACAATATAAAATGTGGACAAGTATGTATAAATCTAAAGGATCCAAAAATATTAATTATTAAATTAGATATTATACAAAACTAATAACATGATAATGGATTTGTATTCATAATTTAAATAAGAATTAGTTAATTTATTGACGTATACGCTTATGGAACTTTAATCTAATCATTGTACACATTGTAACAACTTTGATGAGAATTTATACTACTTATCAATTTGGATTTAACTTATAAATAATTTAAACATCATCCTTGTATAGGTCTGGATTTTTGCGGGTTAGTTTACGATCCGTGTCTTTGGCCCATAAATATACCATATAGTTAAGGCCAAGTACTGGAAAAAAAAGTTTTTAATATGAAAATAATGTATTATTCTTATTGTACTGAATGTTACTTTCATTATATTTTTTCTATTGGTTTTTAATTATCTCTTATGATAAATCTAATTAGTAATCAAATTAATCTTATTAAACAATAATGTATTATCTCGTATGTATAGATTTGTTAACGTACTTGGTGCATAAAAGAATACACTGCTTTGGAAACGTCTGATGGTATTTGGAATGCCTTCAGATATCATACCCTTAAAAGCCTTTTGTTCATGAGGGCTGAGACGGAAAAAAACGATCCTTCTTAATTTGTACAAATTTCCAAACTCCAAACCCATTTTGGAGAATACCTGAAGAAAAAATTAAAATTAACCATTTACCATAACCAAATAATTATGATATAGTATTATACGTTTATTTCATATGAAATTTGTTATTTATTTGATATATATGTGTTATACCGTATTTATACATTTTGTTAAAACATTTCATTACTTAAAAATCATTTTAATATTACATAAACACTTACCTAATGAAACTAGCGAAAGACAGCACTGACAATATCAGAATAGTATTGACTTCACTCTAATCGACTTTTTGGATTCGAGAGGTGGATATTATATTCAATCAAGTTAAGGTTCAAATTTGGATGATTTTTAATTGTACATATAACATGAAGAAACCCTCTATATTCGCATATATTATTTATTTTACATTAATAAATAATTTATTAATCAATTTTGTGATATTTTAATAAAATCATTCATTTTATTAAAATATCTAATACAATAATACAGTAGAAAGTTTAGAACGAGCCAACTTCAGGGAATATTTCTTGAAACCAATAGGAAAAAATAAAAACCAAAATCAACCAATGTTGTATTACCGTACTTATCATTTATCCAATTACAATTGACGAGCATTTTCCGAAGCACATTGAGCAATAAGAAGCTCACGAAGAAAACACAGTCGACTGGGATTTGTCCGACACGGGACGAATCAAATGCATGCATATGTAGTAAAGATGGCGCAGCAGTTGATCACTTACAGGAGGGTTGACTTTGTGCATAGTGAAGTGGGGGTAACGGAGATTGGAGAAACGTGAAGCAGGTCAGTCGCTCGTGTGCTAGGCTACGCGTTGGGTGTTAAGTATATTTTACGCCCATGTGTCCATTTATTGGTTTTTCGCGTTCATTATCAAACGTACACGATCGTGTAATCATTGCAGAGGAAAGATGGTGCTTCGTAAGAATGTTTATCATAGGAACGCTTGTTTCGTGCGATTTTGTAAAATCGTTTAGGAAGTAACGTGTACGCAAGCGCACGTTGGTTTGCGACGAAAAAGAATCGGGCAGGCATAGAGAAAGAGAGAGAGACAGAGAAGAGAAAGAGCAAAAGTGAAGAATTGGCATCGGCGACTCGGGCGCGTCTTTAACCGTGCCTCAGGACCGACAGTCTATCGGTCATTGTTGTTACTGTTGTCTTATCCTTTCTCTCTCTGTTTCATTAAATTTACTAGAACGGCAAGACTGAAGAAAGATAGTGCGGTCGAAAGAAGGAAGGAAGTAAGGAGTCATGGTATCGAGACATCACGACGCTACTTCCGAGTTTGCTTCCGAGGATCGTTTTGGTACATATTGTTGTCGTAGCCAGGACATGGCCTGTGATCGTGCTGACTCGGACTTCGAGTTCTCAATACCACCCGAAGCTCCTGTTTTCGAGCCGAGTACCGAGGAGTTCCTCGACCCTCTTGGATATATCGCTAAAATAAGACCGATCGCTGAGAAATCTGGCATCTGCAAAATCAAACCTCCGCCCGTGAGTAATGTCACGTACAATCTTTCTTTTTACGTTTCAATTTTTTTTTGTTTTCTTCTATTGTCCCAACTTATACCTATCCTACGCGAAAATAAAATAATCGTGAGCCGTTCTATTCATATTCTTTTTTCTTTCCCTTTTCTTGCACCTTTCCGATTGCATTTACGACCTCGATTCGATCCTAGACTTGAAGTACGTATTTCTATGAAAATAACATATTCTTTCTGGTATTCTATATTCATTTTTTCCAACACGTAACGCATCGTCGTACGTTTTTTTACATCGCATAGAACATATACATGCCATGAGAAAATATTTAGAGAGACGAGAAAAGAATGAAGAAGCGTGTTATCATCTACAGTGATTTACTATATTTTATTTTTTTTACTAAATTTTTATTTTCTTTCAAATATTAAACTAAATGATCATTTCCTCGTGTCGTAATATTGTTCATTCGATTGTCTAATGGGGACACTTTTTTTTTTTACATGTTTTTCCGTATATTCTTCTACGACGAACAAGCCAAGCAACCATCGAAATTCTTGTGATTATCTTACAAATCGTCTATACTGAACTACGAAAAAATTGATACGTTACATTTTAAATTGTAGCAACAGTTGTTACAATTTTTTCTTAAATATTTTTAATAGAGAAGAATAATTAGTGATCAAATTTAAAAGTTTATCGAATGAAACAACATTTCATAATACATATTTTCTTACCTTTTAATTGTCTAATGTAATAACGGTTCTTATCAAAAGAAATAAGATAATAATACGCCATGTTTAATAATTTAACCTTTGGGAAAAACTCAGTTTCTTTTGGAAATGAGGTGATTGACAAAAATGCAGAAAGTTATATGTATTAAGTAAGAGATGAAACGAAAAGGAAAAAAAGAACGAAAACTCATGAGAAAAAAGATGTACCTTGTTTGAAGTCTCTTTCTCTCACACGCGTATTCGCAAATAAATTCTTTCTCTTATTTTCGTAGAGCACGTACGCATACATAATCACATCCTTTCTTTTCTCACCTTTCGTTTATCTTTACTTGTTACTCTTGTACAATTAGATTTAGTTTCCAATATTATTATAGGCGGACGCGTTTATCTTTTTCTTTATCAATTAGTTTATTTGAAATCATATGTGTGAATGATCGTTTCGAGCAAAACAAGTTTCTTTCGTTTGAATATTATACCATTATCTATGTCGAAAATCATTTCTACCTCCATTTTGTATCTATCAAGTTAATTATGAGGAAAAGTTCAAGAATAATGTGCTCTACTGAACGAATACACATTATTACAAGACATTTTGATTGTTTGACATTTATTATTAACAAAAATAAATATGTATGTGTATATATATATGTACGTATAAATAAAGGTGTAACATTTTAGGTATATTGCGTGCATGTGTGCATTATGGCGACTATTAGAAATCAAAGAAGACAAGTTTAGTTGAAACGATATTGTTCTCATTTTTATTTTGCTTTGATTATTAATCGGTTTGCATATAAAAATTTGAATACCGTCTATATTCGTAAAACAAATGGAATATTTACAATATATTTACAATATATTTATAATATATTTAGTTCCCACGTTACGCCTAGAAGAGTGTAGAAGAAATCTTATCGTGTATTTTCTACAACAAATTCGATAAGGCTTCTTCTTTGGTTTCTGCATGATGCCTATCGTAATTTTTTGAATCGATATTCTTGTCATTTATATTGCACACGTTGATAAATGAACTATAATATATAGGAATGATTCTTATTGATATATTTGTAATAAATATTATTGACAAAAATTATTTTTTAGAAAAATAAAAAAAAGAAACAAACTGAAAAAGATATTATAAACAATAACGCGTAAATAAAGATGCTTATGTTACAAGAGAAATTTGTCGTATATAAATTTATTTCATGCATATTCCGCGTGTCGGCCGATTCAGGAGTTGTGCCATATTTCTTTGTTGAAATTACACGTTCCCGTTACAAGGTAAACTTATTTGGCCGATGGTTAAGAAATTTAGTAAAGTATTTGCATGATATAAGCATTTCGTAATCGATTATATTATCATCCCTTTTAAAAACGTTACTTCCTCGAATTTATTAGACATTTACACTGTGACTGATGTGTTTCTAGAGATGGCGTTTAACAAATGCCACCATTTCGTTGGAAATTCTACTCGAACGAGTGACGTCGTTGTGCAGGGCGTCGTTAGTTTGCACGGTGGTTTATCTTCTTCCCTTTAAAATGCACTTTTGGGTTCCGTTGTTTATATTGTTATTTCAATTTTTGTTCATTTCAAACAAACAAATCAAAGGTTTATGCGTCTTACTATTAGATGCTTCCATATATTCTATGAATAAATAATTGTTCTAAATTGTTTTTGGATTATTAATTAATTCTCACCTATCAATATATTTTTGTTCTTTTTTTTAGTTTTGTCTTTCCGTAAAAAAAAAATAAATGAATAATGCATAGAAGTTTGAAGCATCTCGATATATAAAAGCTGTTGGAAAGGTTTTATTGATTAATTGGGCTTCTCGCTAATTCGTTGTTCTATCATACAAGACAAGTATTGTCTTACCTTATGGCATTATTTGAAATTTACACGTTACTGGAAATATTGCTTTATAAAAGCTGATTTTATCAAACATATAAAATCTATTGTGAAGATTTTTAACTTCTACTTTTACTAATCATAAATAAATAAATAAATATATATATATATTTTTTTATATCTATCTATTTTCTAGCTAGTATAGTTATCATATATATGATATATATGATAACAATGTCGTATTTTGTGAAATTACATTTCATTTACCTATATTTTTTTCTTCCTTGATCAGAATATATTTTTAGTACTATTGTGTTCTTGTTTTGTTTTAATTAACTACAATAAGAAATGTCAATGCAATTGTTTATTTGTATATTGAAAATTATCTTAATACAATTTATATTTTGTTCTTAACGATAATGTCTTACGCCATACGTTATTACTGTGGAGTAAAAATGAAGCACCAGGGCCGTCTATAGTGCTTTCGTGAAAGGGGCGTTCTTTGTAATCCCCCTCAACGTAGCCCTGAATAAACCATAACCATTTCCTGATCGACATAATGACCATCTAGAGAAATAATGTGTATTTATATATAGTTTAATCGATCGAATTATAATATGAAATTATTTATTCTTTATTTTCTACATTTTTCATCACATTTATCAATATTTTCCTTCATCATTACCTATCGCAATATTTTAATTCTTATTGATAACTAAAATTTCTTTTTCTTTTTTTCTAGAATTGGCAGCCACCGTTTGCAGTTGACGTCGACAAATTCAAATTTGTCCCACGAATACAAAGATTAAATGAATTAGAAGCAAAAACTAGGATAAAACTTAATTTCTTAGATCAAATTGCTAAGTTTTGGGAACTACAAGGTTCCTCGTTAAAAATACCTCTTGTCGAGCGCAAAGCTTTGGATTTGTATTCCTTGCATAAGATTGTCACAGACGAAGGTATCATTTTTTTCGTTACTCTTATTCTTTCTATTTTATTGTTCACTGTACTATGCTAATATTTCTTTCATCTTTAATATAGGAGGCATAGAAACTGTAACTAAAGAGAGAAGATGGGCGAAAATTGCCAACAAATTAGGTTATCCGTCTGGAAGAAGCGTTGGAAGTATTTTAAAAAATCACTATGAAAGAATTTTATATCCATTTGACGTATTTAAACAAGGAAAAGCATTGACTGATATTGTAAGCTTTTTTTATAATACTTTAATAGTACGTAATTTCAAATATTTT